TAAAAAAAAATATATAAGTTAGTTGCTATTTTAAAAAAAATCATATTTTTATGACACTTTAATTTTTATGAATTATTATTTTCTGAAGACAAATAATAAAATAATGGTTCCATACGTAAACAGAAAAAAAATTATAAAATGAAATTGATTCAAATAAGTACCACGATTTTAACCCACCTCCTAGGCAGATGATAATGAATCAATTTTTCGCTCTATTAGAATTGTTTTAAATTTCACAGTAAATTTATTATTAATGTTTGTTTTAACTTTAACAATTTTATCTAGTAATTTCCATTCGGCTTTCAGAGTCGTGCAGTTTTTAATTGTTTTGTATAATGCTGCTACAAACGTTTTTTCATTAAAATAGCAATAATATCGAGAGATTGAAAATCAAATTTACAAATTAATTTAAATACTTAAATATTGATTTATCAGAGTTTGCACAGTTTCATTAATATTTATTATTTGCAATGAATATACTAATTAAATTAATTGTATCTCTTTTATAAAAAATGAGTTTCCAAATATTTATTTAAATGAGACTAAGAGAAATTTCTGTAAATAATTCACTTAAAAATTTTGTGTAAGTATTACAAGGAAAACTTTAAACACTAATTATGACAAAATTATAAGCAACACCTAAATCTCCTTTATTAATTATTCATCTTAGYCAATCACGTGAAATAAGGTAAAACAAGGGAAGATAAAGTGATGTAGTACTCATTTAATGTTAATTAAAGAGTAAGAAAACAGCTCATTACTCATCGCAATCTTAAATCGCAGCACTTGTCTAAAGTTTTCCGAACTCAAAAAGAAAAACACAACCATGTGAAAAGTTTCAATACTTCCRGTAAGTTTACTCTTTTCCCTAGGGCGAAGATATGAATTTTTGAGTCTTTTCTTATTTTTTTTGTCATGTCGAATTAAATTATTTATACTACGAGTRTGTAAATAAATTTGGGCAAAAGTTGTGGGAAATAACGTCAATACTCATTGTAGTAAAATCCGTTTCGGTGAGATACAAAATAAAAAAATGCGTCAAAGATTAAAATCAATGTTATCAATTTATCACATCTTGGAAAATTTTAATTATACTATAATTTTTCGCCAACAATTTGTTAAAAAATTGTAGGTGGTAGACGAATGTTGGTTAAGCCGTGAAGAACAGGTGATTGTAATGGATTTTCCAAAATTAATTGACACTTCCATTTCTTTTACAGCAAACTTAAATCAATAGAAACCGATGCGAGCAGCAGATAGAAACGTAATAACAATAAAAAGAGGTAAATAATTACATCGTCATTGAGATACTTCGTGAAACGTAATTTATAWTAATTAACCGAAATTTATATCAAGGTTTAAGCGTCAAGTTTGTGATGTTGAAAATTAACTGATCAGCTCCTGAAGAAACACTTTACAACAAAAACCAACAATTAATCACAACTTTCTTTTCTCCATTTGGTAAAATGAATCATAAATAATTAACAAGGATCGACGTCACAAAGTTGGGAAATTCTTAATTACTTCCGTATATTTAGCGGAAAATACAATGATACAGTGCACGTTTCCGGCCAGTTCTCCGGCGTCTGGAAAAAGGACGAAATSTAAGCGAACCGCAGGATTTTTCCTGCAAGCCTTGTCCTGCACAATGCAAGTCAACAAGCGTGGACTGTCTCTTTCGCACAACATTACCGTTTGACTTGGTGTCCTTGTCGATTTACAACAAATTTTAATGTACTCTCCAACAGCGGTAGTGTTGAATGTTGTGGTCGGTCAGACGCTCTGCTCCGGTTAAAATCAGACGTTTTCRTATCATGCCTACGAGGTGGTAGTTGCAAGTAGTGTTTAGTAGTTTGATAACAGCATGAATGGCAACGTGATAATAGTTCTAATGTCCTTGGTAAGAAACTAATGTGACTTTCCTCAATTTTCCCACGGTGACCTAAACTCAACAACTCTGCAAACACAACAAAATCTTACTTGCAAATCTTAATTTTGCATAAGTCCGCCTCACCTTCTTATTAAAAAAATATTCGAGTTATTTATTTACTTTTCGTTTTTGTTTTTATTGTTAAATGTATGTTTATTAACCTTTTCTTGTAGCAGTTTATTTTCGCTGACTGATTAGGGTTACCTGCTGCTCTGCTAATTTAATATAATCGGCATCCAACCWGGAAAATGCGATGAGGTCTGAGGAAAATCGAGGAAAACCACCACTTTGCAAAGTTCGGGTTATCATAAAAGATCCATGTTTGAAATTTAATCATCAGCAAGCGTCACAGCATTAATAAAATTTGGACAACATACAGATGTTRCACAAAACTCTAAAACTCACAAAAAATTTTGTTGATAAAACGCCAGATGGGTCGACTAAAAAATGACTTCATCACATGTTCTCAAAATATTAGATTGTTTATTTTATTATATGAAGTAATTGCGCTGGTTTATAATATTTAAAAAAATATATTGTCGTGTTCTCTTGTTACTTAAAATAATGCAGGGTTTTATGTAGTCCTCACAACCATTCAACCAAAAGAAAGTAAAGTTAGGTCAAAAGTGATGAGAAACAATATTCCTGCTATTTTTTTAAAGAATAAAATCTTTTGAACACAAAATATTCAAACTTTAATAAAAACAAATTTAATGCAGATTTTATGTTGCTTAATTGTATACTAATCGCCCTGTATAATATTTCATTTACGATAGAATTTTTGGCATATCGGTAGTAAACAGTAGATAAATTTTCTACTTAAGTTTGCTAATATTTTGGTTTCATCATTAACAAGTATTGAATCTAAATGATTTGTTTGTTTTAGTTATGTCGCATTTGTAAACAATCACGTTAATGTATTTATTTATTGATAAGGATATGCGGTTAATTATCTCAAAACACAGCATATACAATTCTACATAACCACAATAATATTATTCACAGCAGGGCTGTTGATTTAATTTATTAGCATTTCTAATCATATGCTAATAATTTGCAAGATATACAGGGTGTTTTCCTATTGTTGCGAATTCAACATCGAAAAATAACACAAAAAATATATAATTAAAAATTAAAAATACGCAGTGTTATGCCACGCTACTGGTAAAAATAAAGTAAAAAAATAAGGGCTTTCAGTAAGAAAAAAATCATCCAAGTCTAATATTTCAATGCAATTCAATAATATAAAAATTTCAAGACCGGGAAACTAAAGCTAAAGTTTTATAGCGAACGAAATCATAAAGAAAGTAGAAGAAAGCCTGTAAATAATTGACCTCTGTGTATTAARTTTTAAGTTTTGTTTGTGACAGAAATAATGTTCCGTCGTCTAGTAATTATGCAAAATGTAAATTCAACCATGAAATTTTTATACATAATTCAAACATCTTTTATGTTCCTAGAAAAGTTGTTATCGAACAGAGATAATTTATGTAAATCATAAGTCAGATTTTCATTTTCTGAAGTGTAATAATTATTCCAAATAACATTTGAAGAAGTGGTTAACATGTTGGAGACTTTTAATTTAACACATTTAAAATTATTC